GTATGGAATAGTAATAGGGTGGCTTTTGTTGTTGTTGTTGCTTGTTTTTTTCATCTCCATATCTAACAGTTCTCTAATTAACAGTGGGCACCAACTATAGGGACCCTGCATTTCATTCAATTCTGACTTGGTCTGGAGTTAACACAGACCCCTCAGGTTAAGGGCTCAGCCCCACAAGATGCCCCTCACTTACTTGTCAATCAAAAGTGCAGGTTGTGACCAAGTGTTGGTGGCACCTGCCTGGGATCCCAGCACTCTAGGAGCCTAAGGCAGGAAGATTGCAAGCACAAGCCCAGCCCAGGAAACTTACAGACCTAACAAGACACTGCCTCAAAAAAAAAAAAAAAAAAAATATATATATATATATATATATATATTTTTTTTTTTTTTTTTTTAAACACAAGGGCTGGGGCTATAACTCAGTTGGAAGGCCCTAGGCCAAATCCCCAATTAAAAAAAAAAAAAAAGCCATGTGGTTACCTGTACTTCTGACTGTCTGGCTATAAAATGCCTCAGGTTTGAAGATTTGCCAGAACTCCTCACAACTCAGGAAAACAGCTTGCTAACTAGATCACCACTTGGTTATAAGAGGATACGACTCAGGAAGAGCAAGATACAAGAGACGCGTGGGGCAAGGCGTATCCTCTCAGCCCTTTGTTTCACCACATGGAAATCACCCTTTGGGGTCTTTATGGAGGATCGTCACATAGGCATGATTGAACGAATCACTGCTCATTGATGCTGTTCCTCTCCAATCCCTCTCCCTTCCCTGAAGCTGAGGGCCCTCGGGGTGGAAAGGTCCAACCCTTTTATTACATAGTGCCCTAGCAACCATCACTCATCTCATTAGCATAAAAAGACACTCATCATTTGCGTGACTCAAAGGGTTAAAGGAGCTGTGTTCTAGGCCTTTTGAGGTGGAGACCCAAACCCTGTTACTTATGGTGTCACACCTGGGTTCAGAGTCCTGGCTCTGCTAGCTCCTAGGTACAGGACCTCAGATAAAGTCTTCGGTATGTCTAAGCCTCATTTTCCAGTTGTAAGGTTTCATCAATGAAATACACAGACTAGTCCCCATACTATCAGCTGCAGTGCACACACTACAGCCTATTGACAAATGGGAATCCTCCTATCCTCCTCCTCCAGCTCAGAGAAGCCATGACTATCTCAGAACACACTCTTCAGGAGTCCCTTTCCTCATGCCTGGTGTCTGGATCACAGAGACAGAGTGTGTGGGCTTGGGCCAGATTCTCAGGCTGCATGGCTACAGTCCACCCCTAAGGAGCAGTTGACAAGGACTCAGGTTGTCCCATAGATTGGCTCCCTCCTCTTCAAACAGAGGATTACACATGCCCCACTCACAGGTTAATCGGCGTGTAAACCTTTGGGATGGTGACTGCACACAGATGCCCAGTAAACATCAGCCAGTGCTCTGATCATCACCACCACAGTCACGCCAGATCTGACCTAGCAGGTCATGCAAAGTGCACCTGTCTCCCTGCTGCGGTTGTCCCTTAGAGGGACAGAGTCTCTGTAGCCTAGGCACTCTGGAGCTCAGGTGTATCTTGGCCATTCTTCCAAAGGACAAGACATTGGTCTCTGGAATGAATGGGTGGGGGCTCTGCTTACCCATCATAGCTACAGCAGAGAATGCACAACCTTTGGTAGAGCCAAGGGCAAGGAGCCTTTGAAGGGGAAATAGGTGCCAGCTGTAGATGCAGGCTCCCTCCTACTCTGCTTCCCCCCCCCCACTGCTGTGCTGGGCAGAGGCCATCTAGGGGTTGCTTTCTGCTGTTAGAGACCATGTCCCAGAAAAGCCAGCCTCCCCTGGAGAAGGACATGCATCCTTTTGGGTTTGGAAAGGCAGTGAAAATCATGTTCCACAGAGCCCTTCTTTGTTCTAAAACAAGACCAAGAGTTAGTCTCTGCCAAATCTCACCTGCTGGGATGCACAGAAGGTAGGAGGCATGGGTTTAAAACTTGGGACCATTGCCTTAGAGATACATAGCACCCAGCAGCCTGGCTGTCTACCAGTGAGTGGAGCTCGGTGTGCGCCATACAGGGTCTCAGATGTGAAGTGGCTCCGCTGGACATCCATGTACAGAAACTCCGGTCTTTTCTCCCTCCCTCTGTTGTTCTTGTCCTTTTTCTTGGCAATCAGTTTTTTTTTTAGTCAAACGATTTTTGCAAGTTGATGAATGTTTTCATTTTCCTGAAGTTGTGCAAAACTGTCCTGATTTTTTCTTTCAATAAATATTTATTGAATGAGGATATGAATGTGTCAGTAGTTCCCTGAGCTGGTGCTCTGATAATCTCCTAAGCCTCCTTTCCAGTAGCAATGTGTGGCCCACCACTCCAGAGAGAGAGAGAGAGAGAGAGAGAGAGAGAGAGAGAGAGAGCGCTCCTGCCTGGTCTCCACAGCCGCTGCAGGGGGAGCCCCTCCTGCTCCACCCTGGCCCTCCGCTCCATCCCGTGTACTCTTCCACTCTTCCTGCCAGGCCTCTGTCCTAGCCAAAGAACACACCTCACTCTGCTGGGCCGTCAGAGTCTCTCCTCCCCTTGCCTGAAAGCACAGCTGCTCTCCTGGCACCCAGAAAAAATGTTTTTCTTTCATGGCCTACAATTTCCTTCCTTTTTAAATTTAAATATATTGTTTAGTCGATAAATAAAAACATAAAAATTATAAATATTTATAGGATACCATATGATATTCTGATACATGCAAGCATTGTACAATATTTAAATCAGGTTAAATATATCTAGCCCCTCAATCATTTATCAACTCTTCATGGTGAAAACATTCAAAAAGCTTCTTGGGGACCTGGAGGGTGGTTACTGGGGAAGTGAACCTACAACCTTCACCCAGAACTACCTCTCTAGCCCTCTTTTTTATTTTTTTGAGACAGGGTCTAAAATTGCTAGACTTGGTTCAAACTTGCAGTCTTCCCACCTTAGCCTCCCAGAGGGTGGGGACTGTAGGTGTGTGCCACCACACCAGTTTCAAAGAAATTCTTACTCCTAGCTATACTTTATTTTTAACTATAATTTAATACCATTGGTCAGCCTTTCTTATCTGTCCCTCCTCCCCACCGCCAGCCTCTGATAGCCACAAATCTGCTCCCAACTTTGAAGAAATCAGTTTTTTCATCTTCCTCGTGTGAGTGAGATCATGCAGTATCCGTCTCCTGTGTCTGGCTTGTTTCACTGGTGATCACATAATGATTACCAGTTCCCTCTATGTTGTTACAAGAAACAGGACTTCATTCTTTTTATGGCAGAGTAATATGCATTGTGAAAGCTGCAGCACCATTTTCTTCATCTATTCGTCAGCTAATGTACACTTTGCTTCCATTTCTTGGCTATTGCAAATAGTGTTTCAATAAACAAGGCAGTGCAAATGTCTTTTTGACATAATAATCTCATTTCTGTCAGACTTAAACCCAGCAGTGGAGTGGCTGGGCCATGTGGTAGTTCTAGTTTTAATTTTTTCGTTTTCTTTTTCCTTTTCTTTTTTGCAATAGTGGGGAATTGAACACAAGGTCTTCAGACTGAGCCTTGGCCCCAGCTGTTTTCTTTTTTGAGAGTCTCACTAAATTGCTAATGCTGGACTTGCAGCCCTCCAAACTCGGCTTCCCAGTCTGCTGGGGCAGCCCACTATATCCAGCTGAGTTTCATTCTTTTGAGGAACTTTATCTTGTTTTATACAATGACTGCAGTTAATTACATTCTCACCAACAATGTGCAAATGTTCCCTCCTCCCTGCCTCCTGAACACCATTTATTGCCTTTTGTCTTTTCAATACTTTTTTTGAACAGTTGTTGCCCATTTGTATATCTTCTTTTTAAGGCCCAGAATTTCATTGCAGCCACTTTAGACCTCTACACCTTTTGGAAGGAGTGATTTTCTCCTCCTGTGTCTCTCATCTGGGCAAGGTGAATTCACCCAATCTGCACCCATCTCACTTACACTTGACTGTAATCTGTTGTTTCTTCCTTTGTTCGTGTGTTGCTCCATTTATGCACCTGATTATCTTCATATAGTCAAGCAAGTGCTAGGCAGCAGAACAAAGCTCGGGGAGGCACAGTTCTGAAGGAGAGATTGACACACAAGATAGCACGGTGTCTGACCCTGCATGTGTGTCACACCCATTGTACACGTGACCTCACGGTGCAAACAGAGACCAGTCTGGTTTGCAGAGGAGTGGGTGACGTAACATCTCAGACAACTCAAAGGAAAAGATTTCTCAACAGTTGTATGAGCTAAACTTCGCATGCGTCATGGTAGCTCATAAATCCTAGGCAGTTTAGCTGCCTCTATATGGGAAGAAGAGGGTGAGTGTCAGGACATGTCCTCAAGGTCTTCTATGATGGGACAAAAAGCAAGCCCAGCTCATGAATCTGACATGTCCTCTTCCCCAGTTCTGTTATAGCTTCTGTCCACAAAGCAATGAAAGATGCCCAAAGCAGACAGGGTCATGTGTTCTAGTGCCATAGTCCTCGCTGACTGGGAGAAGCTTCCCTTGAGTGGCCTATTCCAGGAGGCCTCAAGGTCACCATGTGGAGGGGAAAGACACTGATAGCAGAGAGAGCAGCATGTGGCGAGCCTCCACTGACCCAGTTGTGGTGTGCAAGACTGTAATTCCAGTGACTCAGAAAGCTGAGGCAGGAAGATCCCAAGTTCAAGGACACCCTATATTACATAGCAAGATTCCATGAAAGAGGGGCTGAGGGAGATTGAAGGGGAGAGACTCAGGGTATTTCTGTTATTTTGAGTCATTTTCCTCGAGGCCTTTGCATCTGGAAAGGCCAAATGGGAATAGACTGTGATGTTCTTGCTACATAGGATCAGAAGTCTTTGGGTCTTACTGTGATCCCTGCCAGAAGTTAGGCTCAGCCTGCATGGCTCATCCGTACCTTCTTTTTTGGTATCTTGTACTCATTGTCCACACCTCTGCCTCTGCCTGCCTCCCAGGACCTCAGGCTCTGCTTTCTGTCTCACAGCTTTAGAGCTCCAGAATGTCAACTGGCAGGTGGCCGGAAACCGGCGTGAACATCACACGGACCAGTTCTCCACCAAGGACATCGTCTTGCGCAGAGGCCAGATGTTTCATGTGATAATGAACTTTAACCGCACTCTTGACTCTGAAGAAGGTCTGAATCTCACGACTGAAACAGGTACCTGCCCACCTCACCCTGTCACTCACACATCCACCTGTGTAGGTCTTGGTGCTTTCTTTTTATCTGAGGGGGATGGCAACTAGGTCACCAGGCTCTGGGGGCTAGCCCAGCTCTGTCACGGATTCAAGTGGCTGCCCATGTGGAGCCTAAGAGTTATCTTCAAATCAAGAGGGATGTGACCCATCTTGAGCCCAGCTGTTATCCTCAAATCAAGAGAGTTGTGACCTTTCTGGTTACTGCTAGCTGGTGGTTTGTAACAGGATACTTCACCAGATGAGGTGCCCTGGAGACCCCTGGCAGCTGTAGGGGAGCCTAATCTGTCCCTGAGGTCTGACCCACACCCTTTGGCTTCCTGCAGGTCCTAACCCCTCTGTGTCAGCCAGGACGAAGACCACATTTCCAGTCTCCAGGGGAAGAAACACAGGTGGCAGCTGGGCTGCAGAGGTCAGGGAAAATAATGGCAATGCCCTAACCGTTGCCATTTCCAGTCCTGCCAGTGCGCCCATTGGATGGTACACAATGAGCCTTCAGATCTCCTCCAAGGGCAGGGTCTCCTCTGTGAAACTTGGGACATTCGTGCTGCTTTTTAACCCTTGGCTACAAGGTAGGTCTCTAACCACCTACACTCCCAGCCCTTTTCTAAGCAATGAGTACAAAAAGAAGATGGGGAAATTCTGTGTACAGGCTCGGGTTTGATAAAGGAAAGTTCGTAAACCATGGAAACCTCAGAGAAGCTACAGGTCAGCTCTGCCACCAACCAGCTGTGTGCATCTAAGCTGTCACTCTGTCTCTCTGATCCTCAAATTCCTCCCCATAAAAGGACATTCTCTTGTTTCCTGTGTGGTTCAAGTGGATATCATGAGCTTTCACGCACTGCTCTCGTGGTTAATTATAAGGGACAATGATTACAGCACAAATTTACAGTACTTCAATAGCTTCTCGCCTGAAAGATCAAGCATCTTATCCCCGAGGTCTCATTTCCAGTCCCCCAGGACAGTCTAGCTTCTCTTCCCAACCCATAGTCCCCACTACGAGAGTTAAGAGCACTAAAGCCTAGGGCTTCATCCTTGGTGGAGGCTGAGATGGGCTGAAGGTGGGCTTTTTCCAGCCCCACACTGGGAGTGGGGAGAGGACTGCTCTGGTTAGTCTTCTGTGGGATTCTAGTCCCTGGTATCTGCTCTTTGTGTCAAACAGCGGATGATGTCTTTATGAGTAACCAGGCGGAGAGACAAGAATACGTTGAGGAAGACTCTGGCAACATCTTCGTGGGCAGCATAAATCGAATTGGCATGGTTGGCTGGAACTTTGGACAGGTAAAAGGGTCAGAAGGAGGTTAAGAATAATAACCTTATTATGCAAGACACTCAGCAGCTTGCTCCACAGCTTGCTGTCCATTTGCTATTCGTTCATTCATTCATTCAGAAGACATTTACTGACCTCTTACTATGTGCCAAACCCCAAGCTACACACGAAAGGTATAGTAAATGAACAAGATCTCCTGCTTTCGGGGGTGAGGGGTCACAATCCAGTGGATGAGACAGACCTGTAACTCAGTCGATGCAATGAAATACTCCTGGTGCCCTGATACATAAATAAGTAGAAGGCCCAGGAAAGACCCTCAGGACAATAGCATAGCTTCTATCATTCATTCTGGTAGAAGAAAATGGGATGATATCCCCTTGCTGTGTGCACTTGGCTTCTCAAAGCCATGAAATCTTTGTCCTGTATTACCTTGATCTGGATCTGAATCCAGAGAATTTCCAGGTTTGCTCAGTTTAGAAACCATCAAGGATGCTTTTCCTTTTTTTCCCCCCAGAATAAAAATAAAGGTGTTAGAATGAAGGGTAGGACACTTGAGATGTCGAGGAGGCACAAGCAGGGACATGCTCTACCCACCCCAGGCCCCATTCCATAGCCAACCAGAGCTTATCTGCTGTGTCTTCTCTGTGTTAGGTTTTATAACCAATTTCATTAGAAGGAAGAAAAGGAAAAGAAAGGTAAGGATATATAGTGCACCTGTCAGCTGAAGGAAAGCCATTTCTGCTGATGTGGCTTGAGAAGGAGCTTTTTACCAAGTACCAGATGGAGGCAAGGGAGTCTGCCAGCTAGCTTGCAGAGGAGGATTCCATGCAGAAGGAAAACCAAATGCAAACACTTTGAGGCAGGAGGAGCCAGTATGAGAAACAGTTACCTACCATATGTCTCATTTTGTGAAAATGGCTTCAGATATGTTGCTTAGTAATGTATTTACCTTTAGTACCTGTTTCCCAGTAGTCTAACATGCTCAAGACCGCAAGCAGAGATAGACAGAGACTTTGAGATGATGTTGGCCTGGCCTTTCATTATCCAGATACAGATTCAAAGCCAGATGGGCTCTGCTCCTGTGGTAGCTCTGTGCCCTGCTCTCTTGCTCACTTTGAGTAGCGGGTACAGGGTCAGGGAAGATTCAGGATGAGTTTGTAGGCTAGAGGCTAGGCATTGTTCTTCGCCACTGTAAAGGAGCTCTCAGTTCTGGAGACCACAGAGTGAAGCAATCTGACAGCCTATGATTCCCAGCATCGTGGCTCCTGTTTCCTTTAGCTGACACTTGTCATTTCTTTCATCATAACATGTGGTTCCGTTTCCAACAGTATGAAGAAGACATTCTGAACATCAGCCTCTCCATTTTGGATAAGAGTCTGAATTTCCGACGTGACCCTATTACTGACGTGGCCCGCAGAAATGACCCCAAATACGTTGGCCGGGTGCTGAGTGCCATGGTGAGTGACAGGAAAAGGATAATTGTTACCATGTGCTGAACACAATCTCTGTGTCAGCTCCATGCAGGCTACAATGTCATCTCAAGGGAACCTCACCAAATACAGGTGGTGGCTGTGACCTTTCCATTTTGCCAATGCAGAACAGAAGAATTCTCTAAGATCAAGGGTTTTCCCAAGACACGAGCGGGTAGCAGATAGAGGCAGAACTGAACCCACATCTGATGGGCTCCAAGGTGTCTCTGCTGTACAGTGAGGCCCTTCTCAGATGAGAAGGGAACTCACTCTTGAGGTGACCATTAGGGACAGACAGGATGGAAGAAGGATACAAAGCAAGGTCTTTGTTATCATGGGGCTTCCAGGGGAGGAGGACATGTCACCTAGAGAGCCTGAAGTGTTAAACTCTCCTGCAGCAGTCCAGCTCCTCCACAACACAAAGCACTGGAACATCAGGATAAGAAGGCAGCAGGCTGTCCTGTTTCCGTGCAGAGCAGGAAAGAAGTTCAGAAAGCAAATGTGATTTTTGACTAGCTCACCTGGACTTCCACATGGAAGGCCTGTTGTGCCCAGGACGTGCGCATGCGCACACACACACACACACACACACACACACACACACACACACACACTATGGCTCTACAGTCAGTGTGCAGAAAATGCCTCCACCAAAAAGTGACCAAAAGAGCAACCCTATCATAAGTCACAAGTTAAAAGCTGAAAGTCAAAGCAAGTCCTTTCTTTTTAGCTCTTAGGAACTCTAAATAATTACCCAGAAATATCTTTAACTTCATTTTATTTGGGGGACTGGTTTAAAGCATCTCTTCAGTTGTGAAATGGATAATTTCCAAGCTAACAAGATCATTACTTGTTAAAAATCCCAACCACATTCTTCTGCCTGATAAATACCTGAGGTTCATCAGAGGGAAATTTGAGTCTGGAGCCAAGCGTTTCAGGAGAGGAATGGGGTGGGTCCAGAGACTTTTGGGGCCCCTGAAATCAGTGAGCACCAGAGCAGTCAGGAAAGGAGACAAAAGAAGGGGATTTGGGCTAAACCTTGGAAACTAAGTTTCAAGAGGAGGCATTAGATTGAGGCAGGGGTCAGGAAAGCTGGCATTCAGGCCACATGAGAAGGTGGCCTCCTCTACCCCGGAGAGAGAGGTGAAGCTGCTGCTCCTGTACCGCTGACTCATTCTCAACCTGAGGCCAAACCACTTTATCTTGGAGCGGTTTCCTCCTATGCAACTCGCTGATGCTCTCTCCAGACCTCCCTGTTGGGCTGGGCCCGGAGCTAATTATGGCCCAGGCGGTTTTGAAATGTTCAGCTCCCTGCCCGAGATAATCTTGCTGATTAACTGCTCCTGGGATTCCAGCCCAAGTATCCTGGAAGGCGTGCACAGCTCCCCAGGAGACAGAGCAGCTGCAGTAGACTGCGCCCAGCCTATCCAGACTGCCCATTCTCACAGGCCTCGCCACCTAGAGCCAACCAATGGGATGGGACTCAGGCTAGCACAGCCCTCGGAGACCTGGTTCTGCCTCTCACTGTGCAGTTGGGATAAATGACAGAATTTCGTAGACTGAAAACTTCATTGCCCCTGAGCCCATTTCTTTCTCACTCCCTCTGCTTTGAAAGGCCCAGAGTCACCAAACTGAGTACAAATGCTTATACCTTGGCTTTCTTCTTTCCTCTCTTTTAAATTTTTATGATGCAAAAGTTTAATTCTACACAAAAAGAGAGAGCAAAATACAGTAAATTCCTATGTCCTCATCATCAGTCCCAGCAGTGGCTGCTTCAAGGCTGGTTTTATTTCATCTCTTACTTTGTCTGCCACAGATCATTTGCTTAATCCCAGACTTTGCATCTTCTGGCATCATTTCACCCATAAATATTTCTGTTAATATCTCTAAAAGGTAGCAGAACTCAGGTCTCTACAGTCCTAAATCAGTACTCTTTTCACATTGTGTTACAGTGCTTTATTCTAGAACTGTAACCTAAGTTAAATGATGTCACAAATAAATGGATGAATGAATGAGTGAATGGAAATATTCCATTTTTATTCTTTCCAAGAAGTCAGCTGCTAAAGTTCTAAAGTGGTCTTTTTAAACAGCAATGCACAAGAAAGATCTTCAAATCACAGACCCAGAAGCAGGCAGACATCTGTGATAACCCCTGAGTTGTGTTTGTTTTTTTTTTTAAGAAGTCCTCTGCCATTTGATGTCTGACCCTGACATGCCACTGAAAACCTGTGGAATCTCTAGATGCCATATCAGCCTGCAGCACAGGATTGATAAATGGGTCAAAGCCAATGGCACCTAGCTTGTTAGGCGCAGCCCCTCTAAACTTATAAATCACTCAGTACCCCTAAGGAATTTATTGCAGTTGTCATCCCTGAATTACCTAGAAAGACTGAAAAATCTACTCCAAAGTCCCTGGCTTCCTCCCTGATCTGCCCATCTCACTGGAAAAGTATGGTGCTAATTCAGGGGTTGGGGCGGGGGTCTCCCAGATCAATAGCAATGACGACAACGGTGTGATCGCTGGGAACTGGAGTGGCAGTTACACGGGTGGCATGGACCCGAGGACCTGGAATGGCAGTGTGGAGATCCTGAAGGAGTGGAAAAAATCAGGCTTCAGGCCAGTCCGATTTGGCCAGTGCTGGGTCTTTGCTGGGACACTCAACACAGGTACCTTGGGTGTGACGTGCCTTGGCTGGGTCAGTGCACGGCGATGGGGTACGCCATGGTGCCCCCTCCACCATCGCCCAGGCCCTCACACTACCTTGACTTGCAGTACTGCGGTGCCTCGGAATTCCCTCCCGGGTGATCACCAACTTCAACTCTGCTCACGACACGGACCGAAACCTCAGCGTGGACGTGTACTACGACCCCATGGGAAACCCTCTGGACAAGGGCAGCGATAGCGTGTGGTGAGTGCCTGACCCTTTCCCTCCACTTTCTTGCCTTCTCCTTCCCCTGGGAGTGAGCACCATGGGTCACAAGAAGCAATATGCCAGTCCTCGCTTCAGGACGGAGGTGCTGCCAAAGCCGACTCTACACCTGCAGGGACCCAGAACCCTTCTTTTCTGCCCTCTGCAGAACTGGAGGCTGATTCTGTCTTACGGCCCTCAGGTGAAGGGCCTGACTCCAGTGAAACATGTAGTCATGGGCTCCATGAAATCACACTGAGTTCACAGGGTCCCTGAGCCCTGATACTGCTTTAAAAGGTAAAAGTCGAAGCTATCGATTCAACTTTCTCCAATGAGGAATATGAATTCACTTCAGGCATCCCATATGATAGAAGGGTTTCCTTAAAGAGAGTAAGAAAAACATTTTTCTTAATGTTTATATACTTATTACATGCTGTAATTGATAGGATGAGAAATTACAGGGTTTTTCTGGATTCTAGATGAAAATAAGAAAGTTTGTACATATTTAGATATATAATTTCTAACCATAAATACATGTGCACATGTTATCTATACACTCACACCTATGAAATGTATAATACAAGCCAACTAGAAATAGGTTATATAAAATTATACACATATAACTCCATTGTTCTATTTATACCATATGCTAACTTGTTACCAGTTGGCAATTGAAAAAGATGGTCTATAGGTATGTGTATACATAGATATGTATGTGTGTTTCTGCATGAAGCGCCATGCACATTTCAATAATCTATTGTTGGGGCTGCAGATATAGCTTAGAGGCATAGCAGCTGCCTAGCAAGCATGAGGTCCTGAGCTCAGTTCCTGGTACCATAATAATAATAATAATAATAATAATAATAATAACCTATTGTTTTAATCCATGTTAAAGGATACATACACATACAGTTGCTAACAGCACACATATGGCTAGATAAACTTATAGCTAAAATCTTATTTCCAGATGTTCACACTTGATGTGGTTTATATAAAATATCCTTTATTATTTGTTATTCTCAGAATGAGAAGATCCAATGTTTCTAAAATGTGTTTACTGTACCAGTGGGATAAAACAAAATGAAAAATGCAAAATAATGGGAAAAGCCAATTACAAAAGCAACTATCTCATGCCAACAACTGAACTAATACAAGTGTCTGCCCTCTGTGGGAGAATGAGGTTCCAGGAATTCGCCTCTGGTTACATGAGTATAAGGTTTCCTGGGGGAAAGAAAGCTTATTTTAGGATTTTCTTTCTTGATTAGTATACACACTATCTTCTCTCTAATGACATCACAACTTGTGACAGGCTTTTATTTTTCAACTTCCCATAAGAAAGTATCTTTTTTCTCCCTGCCTGTCTTGTTTCTTGTGCTATTGCATCTGAAGTCCCATTAGACCAGTTTTGATTGCGGGACACCGCCATGCCTAGCCTTAGCTGCCTGTCTGTGTGAAAGGCGATGACTGGTCAAACAAGATGCCCAATCTTTTACAAGAGAACTCCCTTTGGTATACACCTGATCCTACACCCTGGAACTGCGGGGAGACCAGAAGGCTTAAGGTTCTATCCCTCTACTGAAAGCATTTAAAGTGCTTTTAGGAGACAGGGGTGGAACCCTGTAGTAGAGGCTGTGGAGCAACACAGCCTGGTACGTGATGTGCCCGGCAGTGATTCAGACAGTAAGTACTGTGGGAACCAGGGAAGGAATTCTCAGAGAGCCTTACAGTGAAACAAGGAGGTGGCACTTGGAATTAGAACCCAGGTATCTTTGTTACCGGCTGACACTACCATTCCACATCAGCTTAATAACTCGTCCCAACTATAATCACCTTTAGGACAAGTAGGGCCCCATGAAGATGTCTGTCATTTCTGCGTCTCCACTGTCATTTCCGTTGGCCTCCAGAAAGGGTTCCAGGGCTGCTGATTGCTCCAGAGGGTCCCTGTGTCCCCTTCCTGTCTCACTCACTTTTCTGACCTTTTCTCTGAAAGCAGTGGAGCTAATGAACACTCTACTCTATTCCCTAGCAGCAGGGTACGGTGAACCAACTGTGGATGGTATTAGGATAAGGAATCCCGAGTCCTGGTTCCGGCCCTACTGCTAGGGAGCTGTGGGCCTTGAGCAAATCATTTCACCCTTCTGGCCCCAAGTTTCTCCATCAATGAAGAAATGATCATTTAAGTCTCTTAGCAACTTGACCACTTTTATTGTCTCTAGTTGCAACCCACCTTGCTACCCACCCCAAGGGAGCCGTATTTCCCTTCCTACATTAAATCTACCCAGGGGAGAGGTGAACTAAGAGTAATTTTCTTCGTGACATGAATTACTGATCATTATTATAAAGACAATCTATATTTGGGCAGTCAACCTTTGGTCTTAACCATTGTGTCTTATAAATATTGGGAGCTTTAGAAACTTGTCTAGTAATAGAATGAGTGTCAGTGAGGTTGGTCATCTGAAACTGCTTAGTAGTAAGCGGCAACTTTTAATTTGCTGAGCCACTGTTGTGTTCTAGGTACTGATCCAAGTGCTTACTCACATTGGCTCCTCACACTTGAGGTTGGCCATGTGATTAGCATCCCTGTCATATGGCTGAGGAAACTGAGGCATAGAGATTGAATAATTTACCCCATGGCACGTAACTAGGGGTGGTAGAGAGGAGATGTGAATTCAGGTAGATTTGTAAACTATAAAACATCAAAAAAATTCCATAGAATGTTGTTGCTATTCCTGGCTAATCTCTTTAACCTTGAGATTTTCAGAGGTGTGTAACTAGACACCACCAGGGGCTCTGTCTATCCCATTTGAGTGCAGCAACTGGCTCTTTCACACGCCACTTCTTTTGTAAGACATGTCTCAAGGGTTCATGAAGAAAAATTATTTGCCCAAAGCCACATTGTAAATTGTGACCAAGCAGAGGATGGAATTCAAATAAGACTCTACGAAGCCAAAGGGCAATAGGACTGAAAGGGACCTTGAGAGCTTGTCTGGAGGTTCTAACCAGGGAGTGCAGCTATTCACGTACCGTACCCTTGACGGAGGACTGCTTATCCTCCATGGGGGGAGGGAGTCGTCCTCTTCAGCAGAGTATGCTTCAGAGGCGCTCAGGGAGGAACACACCTGGAGTGCTGAGGAAGGAGGGGACACCCGCCTAGCCAGCCAGATCAGCCTAATCTCTTTTCATTATCCCCTAAACAACATGGTACTACAATTATTAATGTAACGTTTACTTTATATCAAGGATTGTAAGTAATCTAGAGATGATTTAAAGTGTAGAGAACGCTTGCAGGTTACATGCAAACACTCTCCCAATCTATACAAGGGACTTAAGCATCCATGTTATGGAACCAATCTTCCATAGATGCTGAGGGACAACTTTTACTAGTCTAAGAGTAAGCAGTTAGAGACATTTAAGGCTTCTGTGTAAATGCGTGGTATCACACTGAACATTCTCCTGCCAGCTGGAACCACTGATGGTACAGACAGAACCGGTCACTTGTGACTGGCTTTTTATTAATAAAAAGTTTATAAGTGTACCAAATCTAGTTAGCCACTTGAATTTGAATAATTATTACCAACTATAAATATCAATTAATACTACTCGTATCAATTAAAAATTATTACATAAGCAAGAAGTTTATTTCACTAGATTTAAAAGAAATTTATTTATATTCATGGATAGTTCATCGAGAATTAATTCTCTAAATTTTAACATGGAAATCTTACAATACTCCATTGCTAGTATATGTGATATGCATTTACAACTACTGTCCTGCAAAAAGTATCTGTATTACAATTTTTTATACCATTCTAATGTTTTCCTTAAGGAACTGATGTATGGTGGCATCTGGTCTACTAAACTGATGCCTTTCCTTACATTACTATAATCAAAGATTCACCCAATGGGACAGTCATGCACGCACCACCAGTGGCTCAAGCCTGCAGGAACCATCAAACTCAAATCAGGCACCCAGCTGCAAGACACACAAATTACAGCTCCTATGGCCCCATCATCTCTTTTCCTTCTTTTTTTTTTTTTTTTTCTTTATGTATACGTGTGTGTCCTTTTTTCTTCGAAGGCCCATTTTTGGATAGGGACTTTAATCTAATTTTTTTGAGTTCTTTCTATGTTCTCAATAATAATCCTTCCTGGGGCTGGGGATTTAGCTCAGCGGCATAAGCACCTGCCTTGCAAGCAGGCGGTCATGAGTTTGATCCCTGGTACCGATAAAAATGAAAAAGACAAAATAATAATAATAATAATCCTTCGTGTGAAAAACAGCTGGCAAACATTTTCTCCCACATTGTGTGTTGTCTCTTCACTCTGTTGGTAGTTTCTCTTACAGTGCAAAAGCTTTTCTGTAAGGTGAGATCTCAGTTGTCGATTCTTTGTGATAGTTCCTGTACAATCAGGATTTTGTTCATAAAGTCTTTGCCTACACCAATGTCTTCAAAAGTTTTACCTATTCTATCTTCCAGACGATTTAATGTTTCTGTTTTAATATTAAGATCTTGGTCCATTCTGATTTTAGCTTAGTACATGGTGAAAGACATGAGTCCAGTTTTAATGTTCGGCATGCATAGAGCCAGTTTTTCTGGCACCATTTATTGAAGAGGCTGTCTCTCTTCCAGGGCATGTTTTTGGCTCTTTTGTCAAAGGAAAGGGAGCATGTGTGTCTTTTTGAAGCAAGGTTTCACTGTGCAGTTCTGGAAGGCATTAAACTCACCTTGTAGCCCAAATTGGCCTTGAACTCACAGCAATCCTCCAGTCTCAGCCTCCCAAGTGCTGTGCTGGGGTTACAGCCTTGCACCACCACACTCAGCTCTTTGTTTTGTTTGGGTTTTTTTGTTTGTTTGTTTTGTTTTTCTTAAGACAGGGTCTCACTATGTAGTTCAAGCTAGCCTAGACCAGGCTTGAATTCAAAGCAGTTCTCCTGCCTCAGCCTCCTGAGTGCTGGGATTACAGCATGTGCTCAGCACATGTTAAATTTCTTAACCTTTTTCTCACTTTGATTTTCCACCTCTAAAGTCAAGGGCTAAATCAGGAGTCCCCTGTGGTCCTTTCTAGATGTTTCTTTTAACACCATCCAGAACAGCCAATAGAGTACATTTTTTTCTAAATTATTCTGCTCATGCCAATGTTTTGGCTTAAGGAGCAAAAGCTGTGGAGCCTTCCCTCTCTCAGAGCAGGAGTGCTTGGATACTTCTCTGATGGCAGTCCCTGCTGAGCCACCACAAAGGAGGTCGCGGGAGTCTGCTTATTCATTGAAGCAGCAACCAAATAAGTTTGGCCAAGAATACCTTGATGTTTCTGGCTTCTTTTCTTAATCCAGTTGACTCTAACTCCCAATTTCTACAAACACTAACCTGACTGTACTCATAGACTTAGGTAAGAGGCAGGAGATTGCTGAGCCCTGCCAGGAGGTGGAGCTAAGCAGCTCTTCCAAAGAAGGGCTGTAGGCACCCACACCTGGCAGAACGCCTGGTTTCAGAGGCAACCTCTCCCTTCACCCCTCTCCCTTTGTACATCCGCCACCCCAACCCTTGGCACCCAGACCCGCCATGGTCATAGACTTCCAGGCTTACGTTAGAATTAGCATGACTGGGGGAGATGGTGCTAACAAATACTTTAAGTCATTCAGATGCTGACAGACTGTGTCCTCCTGAGCTCGATCCAAGAATCCCAGGAGGCAGGAACGGAGCCTAAGGCTGATGGAGGAGACAAAGGCTCTCGTGAGAAACCCAAACCAGAATTTCTGCGGCGGTGCCGAGAGCTTTTTGAAGGCACACATCCCCAGCACACCAGACTGAAGTGGCAGTCTTCTATGTAAGGGAGGAACCAGGTGTATTCGTTATCTGTTCTGTCGTAAATTTCCACCTTGCAAATAAGTATTAAAATACAGTTACTGTACTCAGCACTTTTTAAAACCTACCTGCCCTTCCCCTAGGCTTCTTTGTCAAGAATAAAGTGACTGTGCAACTTCTCACCGCCCTCTCATCCTGATTTAGGCCCTCTGACCCACCTGGGCTCATCTTCTCAAACTTCCTGTGCCTTCACTCTGGCAAATTCTAACATTCCTAAGGGCCCATTTAAAGGAACACTTTGTGGATCTTCCTGGACATCATTGTTATGATGATTTTTTTTCACAACTATGGGAAGGTTCGAGATACAATATCATGATGATATTATTGTCTACAAACTTTTAACATTTGAATTAAGTATATATGTCTAATTGGAATTATACATTTTTCAAGGTTTGAGTGCAAGACAGAACTTATAATAAATATATGCCCCTCTTTCCCACATCTGGAAAGCAACCACTTCACAGCTGTAATCATGTGTTCTTAGCTAAACATTATAAGCATTTCCCAATGTCATTAATCTTCAAAATAGGATTATTTTAAACACAACACAAGTCATTATATGTTTGAACTACTATGTCTTTCCCTACTATTTCTCATGTTTATTTCCCTTTTATCTCTCTTCTTCCCAAATTCGTATTCACTTTAACATTATATGACAATTTACAAAATCAGCAAATAGAGATAATTATTTTCAATTTACAGGGATTAAATGAGCTGATATAGGGGCTTAAAGGAGTAGCTTAGAGGTAGCCTGCATGAGGTCCTGATTTCTCCTCCAGGGCCAAAGTAATAATATTTAGCATACAATTTATACTGGGACAAACCGTGCTCTACTTATAGAGTAAGTCTAAATCAGTTAGACACTTAATTTTCCATAACACATTCTATGTTAGCGATTATCGCTTATATAATATACATAAATTTTAAATATTCACTTATGTTTTAATTATAGAACTGAGTAACTCTCATTATAAAAAAGAAAAACATAATAGAAATTAGAAAGCATAAAATTTACTTTGTATGCACTGTGTGCATAATATGTGCACCAAACTGTTTATCACGATAAAATAATGGAATTGTTAGACACCAATTCTCCAAATTTTATATATAATTTTTTAACTCAAAAGGATTCATCATATGTAGACTATATGTGTACATACAGACATATTATCTTGTAATTTGATTTTCTTCATGATGTATTTTAGACTGTTCTCCATGAAAGTACTAGCTGGATTTTTGCTGTCTTCTTTTTGGTGGCTGAATGATATTCTATCGTATGACTGTGCCGTGATTTGTCTGATCATTTTCCTGTACTGCTGAGGTTTTCTTTCACCATTTGTGCTCTGTCCAACAGGACCGCAGTGAGCATGTTTACCCGCCCTCTGTGTGTGTTCATAGGAGCTTCTCTATAGAAATCCCTAGCATGGAAATGCTACGTGGGTGAGCATGGAGATCTTTAAAGGATTTTTACACTGCACACATTGCCACGCTGCCTGCACAAAGGCCACAGCAATTTAAACTCCCACCAGTGATGTGTAATAGCACGTTTTCCCACTTGGAAGAAGGACAACAATGTGCGTCACCTTGCACTTTAATCTCTGTCAGTCTAAAAGATGTAATCTAGGGGCCAAGGGTTTAACTCAAAGGCAAAAGCATCTGCCTAGCAAGTGTGAGTTAGATCCCTGGTACAAAAAAAAGAAAAATAAGAGATGTAATCTCTGTGCAGTTATAATGGTAGCTGTTCATCATTTTAATTTTCTTTCATCAGTAGTGAGGTTAAACACATTTTCTTATGTTCAGTGATCATTTGTGTTTCTGATGAAATTATCTCTTGCTCAGTGCCTTTTATTGGCATGTTTTTCTTTTCCCCCTTTTTTAAAAATTTGATTTGCAAGTATTTTACATAGTGGTGTATAAACCCAGGTAGCACATATGTTGCCCCTATTTTTTCAACTGCATCGATCTTTTTCCAGTCTTTTTTCTTGCTCCTCTTTAGACTGGATGATTTCTACTAATCCATCTTCCAGGTTGTTCATTCTTTGCTCTGTCATCTCTCCTGGTAAATCCATTCGCTGAATTATTTAATTTCAGGTGAGTTTTCCCAATCTAAAGCTTCTTTTTTTTATTAGTTTTAATGTTATTTTAACAATTTTTTATTTCATGTTTGCAGTACATAATGATTATATTCATTGTGGGAGTCTGTATGTGTTTACTACACATCTTAATTTTATTTCCAACCCTTTCTTCTCCTCTCCCTGTCCCTCCCCACTTCTCTTAATCTCTTTTCCTTTTACAAAAGGTCTATTTCCTTATTTCACATTATCTATCTCTTATTTTGCTCTTTAGTTATTTATACTTTGAGTTTCTCAAGTAAGAGAAGCTATGAACTATTTAAGCTTTTAAGCTGGGCATGGTCGTACACATCTATAATTCCAGTACTCAGGAGGATTAGACAGGAAGAATGATGTATTTCCAGGCCAGCCTTGGCTGCAAAGTGAGTTCAAGGCCAGGCTGAACTACACAGTGAAGCCCTCTCCTAAAAAGATTTTTTTTTAAATTAAGCTTTTTTTTTCTGATTTATTACACTTAACATTAAGGTCTTGGGTGCATCCACTGCCAGTTACAAATTTCTATCTAGTTTTTTTTAAGTATTTTTTTTTTACTCCTTTGCCAAGAATTCCTCTCTTTTCATTGATTTTGAACATATTTCTCTTTACTTCATCAAGCATAGTTACAGTAGCTGCTTTGAACTTCTTGACCAGTAATTCCAACATCTGAATGATTTTAAGGTTCATCTCTGTTAATCATCCTTCCCCTTGAGAACATGTCACATGTTTCTAGTTCGTTGTGTTATCCCGGGATGTGTCAGTATTCTGTTGTTTTGTTTTAGGAGGTGGCCTTGGGCAGACTCACACTGCCAACTACAGCAGCGCTCATCTCAGTTCAGCTCTTTCATCTCCAGCTGTTCTACCTGTAGTCTGTCTCATTATATGCACAGCTCAGGGGTCACCCAGAGGTTTGGGCAGAGTTTATAGACATATTTGGGGTTCCTCTTCCTGGATGGTCTTCCCAGAACATTCCCTCTCTCTGCATTAATCCTGGTTGACCCAGGCTCTATTTCAGAGCCTCAAGTCAGAAAGATGACACTGTGCTCTGATTGTGCCTTGTCTTTGGCGCAAAACCAAACAGTGCAGCTCACTCCCTGTTGGCTCCTTCCTCCAAGTTTTGATTCACGTCCAAAATTTTGCTTCATTCACTCTCAACTACTTGCCTTTTCTGTTTCTTTCAGAGTTTATTGCTACATGTGAAGGGGTCTATTGTGTACCAATTTTACCCCAACAGAGAGGCTATGTGTCTTTTGGCCAGACCTGTCACACCTGCTGCAACCCCTTCCATTTTTAGCTCCTACCAGGTACAGAATTGTCAGCCAGGGAGACACAGCCCAGAGCGAGAGCTGGGTGCTGCTGCTCACCTAGAGTCGTTCTGCTTCTCAGAAAGGAAGTAGATGATGGGTAAAGCTTTGGCTTTGGAGTTAGGTGTATCTTGGTCCTGACTTTGACTCTGTCACTATTAGCCCCTTAATGTCTCTAAGCCTCAGTTTTCCCTTGGATGAAACACGGTCACCATTTCACAGTCTCATGAGGTTTTCTATCAGATGATGCTCTCCAGAACTTAACACAATAGCTGACTTAGGGTTAACTCACACCACGGGACCAAAGTGCTGCACTGTCCAACCAATCACTCCCTTGCTAAGTGGCCTTGTGCAAACTCTGCTGTCTCTGGTTCTGTCTGCAGGAATTTCCATGTCTGGAACGAAGCCTGGTTTGTGCGGCCTGACCTGGGCCCCTCATACAATGGATGGCAGGTGCTGGATGCCACCCCCCAGGAGAGGAGCCAAGGTAACCTTGCAAGGCGTGGTGCTAACGTGGCCCCAAATCCTAAACCTCTGTGACCTTCACAGTAAGACAGAAGCCAAAGGTATGAACCCAGACCCTCCCCATTTCTGCCATATGCTTCGAGGCCAAAACTAAAACTGTTTTCAAAATAGAGTTCCCTCTGGTTTGGTTTGGCTCCGCTTGGGCCTTCTTCGCACCCACAGTGGCTGCTGCTGTAGCAGAGGCCCAGCTCATGTCAGGTGATGGAAAGATGCCTGTTCCTGCCAGCATTTTCCAGTAGGGCTGCAGCAGCCACCCCTCCAGCCAGTTTCTACCTCATGAGTCCCCCTTGGCCGCTGGGCTTAGTCCACAATGGCTGCTCTGCACAGACCTGGGATTGTGGCCCACAGTGGCTCCTCCTTTCCTGAGCATCACCCTCCTCTTTTTAGTTGGTTGGGATCTCAGGATCTTGGGAAGCCTTTCCTCTCCTGCTCTGCCCCCTAGAGCATGTCTGGTCTGTCACCTTCACTTAGTGTGTGTGTGTGTGTGTGTGTGTGTTTGAAAGAAACAACTAAGTTTCTTTCAAACACACACACACACACATTTATAAATATATATGCACATAGTTTTAAAAAGTCAGGCATTCTATAAGGACTTAACAATAAAATTTAGTGTGACTTCACCCCATAAGCCTCAGTCCCTGTGCCTAAAGAAAGGTACATTAATGGACTTGAGACTGGAGGTCACCTTCAGATCCTTTCTAGCCCTCTGTTTTTTAAACTTTCCATTGCAACCCATTAGGTGATTGTACAGTCAAGTCAATGGGTTGTGACCATTACTGTAAGAAATTAAATAAAATAGAATGGAAAGGAAAGAAAAACAACAAATTATTGAGGTGCATTGGACCTAATAAAACTAAGTGCTGTCCTGTGAAACTTTTGTTTCAGTACTACATGTATGTCAGGACAGCAAATGTATTTCTTTCTAGGGAACACGCCAAAAAAGAGTAATTGTTTCAAGCATGTAAAAAATCATGTGTGTTTAAACAAAAATGATTTGTTTTGTTTCTTTGCATCTTTTGGTTTTGTTTTTGGTTTTTGGTTTTTTGGTTCACCGGGATTGAATTCACAATCTGGAGCGTGCCAGGCAGGCACTTTACAACCTTGAGCTAATCCCTAAACCCCCAGCCCCAGTTTATTTGTTTACAAAACAAATAGAATAATATTCTTCTTTTTATTCTGCTGCACCTTACTTTCTTTCAGCTGTCCATTTCCTGAGTGAAATCCTATCAACTATCTGTCTATCTGTCATCTCTCTATCTCTGTCTCTATCTCTACCCAAGCTACCTATGCTGAGTGCTAGAGGAGGGAGGTGAAGCTCTGACCTCAGGTTTCAGAAGAGCAAGAGCCCATGGGCTGGGTATTCAGGGAAGTCTTCCAGGAGTAGGAGGGCAGTGGCCCTCTGGGGTAGAATGACTTGCAGAGGTTGACAAGGGAAAGCTGTTCTGAATATGGACAGCAAGACTCTGCTCTCTAGGAAACAGATTGGTGGCCGTGGGCCAGCTCAGATTAGACAGCCTCAGGAGGCAGAATGGAGCCAGTTTTAGGTCGAACTGAGCTGGACTTGGGTGCCATGCAGTAGGAAGGTATTTGCTGAATGTTGCATGAGACAGCCTGGCCAGAATGGAGGCAGGGTTGCGACTGTGGTGGACAGCCCTTGGAGCAGGCTATGAGTGGGCTTTTGTGCATGGGCCCAGCCTTGGCATATGTGCATCTGACATCTGCATCTGCCACCAGGGGTATTCCAGTGTGGCCCAGCTTCAGTTATCGCAGTCCGAGAGGGAGACGTGGACCTGAATTTTGACATGCCCTTCATCTATGCGGAAGTCAATGCCGATCGCATCACCTGGATCTACACGGCCTCTAACGATAGCAAGAAGCAGAACTACGTAGACACGCGGTCCGTTGGCAGGTACATCAGCACCAAGGCCGTGGGCAGCCGCTCTCGCATGGATGTCACAGACAAGTACAAGTACCCAGAAGGTAGGAGGGGTGGATGCTCCCAGGCACCCCATGCGGGTTAGTGGTGGGTGAGTGGGTTTGAGGATGGAAAGAAAAGGCTTCATCTCCACCCCATCAGATCCCCAGGTTCTCAGTTAGTTCTGCCCAAACAGGAGGTTGGCTCCCTGGCGTCAAACACCCAACTGCACTGTTTTCAGCGGGGAAGGGAAAGATCAAGAGAGGCTGCCCTGCCAGCAGCAGTTTGCAGCAGGGGACAGACAGCTGCCAGCCCAGCCTACCTCAGTTGCAGAAAGGAGTGACAGCAGCATGATTGGACATTATACAGAGAGACCTGGCCCCCACAGGGGGTTCTGGGGGCTTTGGGAGATATTTCCCCATCAGTTCACTTTCTTAGCCACCAATAAACAGGCAGAAAATACCATTTGAACAAACAAATGGACAAAAAGAGCCAGATGAGGGCTTGTACCACATTCTAGGGCTCCCAAAAAACTAGGTGAACTGTGATTACGTAGGAAGGCAAGTTTCCAAGTTCTAGCTGCACTGATCCTCCAGGGTCACCTTGCAGACCAGGGCTATGAAGCTGCCTTTACTTTACATCATTTATTGCTCAGAAGTTGTGCTGGGAACCAGCCATACAGTGGTCCTCAATGGTGACAGAATTCCTTTGTTTGAAGGTGAAATTCATTATTAGAAACAGCCCGAAGTTATTTGACACTTGCTCTAGCAGGACATGGTCATTCCTTAATGGGGTCAATAGTTCTTTTTTCCAAAATGCTTGGAAATCGGTGATTCATTTTCTCCTCACAGCCAATTCCAAGGAATCAAGAAAAATACTCTTGAAAATGTGTTTGCATTACTCTCTAAAAAGCTCCAAATCCTTAAGCAACTTCTGGCTGTTGGTTTCAGGCAGAACTTTCAGAAAAGGAAAGCTGAGTCCAAGAGATGGAGGTCTGACTCCAAGGCCAAGGGGACAGTTCCACTGGATCCTGGTAGTTATGAATCTTTCGAGGCACGACTCTTGGGTAATGAGATGGGCAGCCTCAGTTTGAGCCTCTTCTGTCTCTGCCAGTTGCTTCCAGGGTTGAAGTCAGATGGACCTTGTGTTTATCTATAAGCAAGTGTTGAGCCCGTCAACTTAAAAAAGTAATTATTTGGAAGCAGCAGAGCATTGCAGTGGTAACGAATGTGCCCTCATAAACTACAGGCATATTTACAGAGATGGAAGCAAGGAGATGATCTTAAAGGGGAAAATGGGAGGATTACATCAGACATTTTGAGACAGTAATCTTCGGCTATAGTGATTAATAACCAGGGTAACATCAATCCAGGGTTAAACAACTAGCTGGGAGGCAGATGTCCTTGTCTAAGTATTTTTTGGGTAAGGTTTCCTCTGTGCAAGTTTTTGGTTCTTCCAGTCTTTTGGAACACTTCTTATTAAGGAATCATACATAAGAACCCTTTGTTTTTAACCTCCTGGCTTTACTTACTTACTCATTTATTTTATTGAAGCTGACACAAGTGATTCCATTTTGGCTCTCCCAACCTGCACACTTTTCACCCAAATGCCTGCTCCAGGCTGGGCCCTGGGGATGCAGCAGAGAGCACTATGAGGGAGACAGATGTAGGACAAGTATATTCAACTACAAGTGTAAGGTGCAGGGAACCTAGCACAGAAGGTGAACACCAATCCGACCACTTAGAACCATGCAGCCCTAAGAATGTTTCTTATGATCTCTGATGCCTTATTTCCTTGCCTGTGAAACCTGACTAGCAATGCCTGTCTTCAGGTGAATTTCAATGCTCAAATGCACACAAAGTTCCAAGCACAATGCCTGACATATAGCAAGGATTTAATAAACAGCAGAGTGGTCTTTATGCATTTGAACACCTGCAGCTTGCCTGGACTAATGCCCTGCCAAGATCACTGTTTTGCAGGCCCTGTCTACTTGACTACATGAGCCTGCAAGTTTCCTTATCACTCTCACATACTGATCCTGCTTCTAGGGGGCTCTGGTTATCCTAGCCACACCTCCTGAGTGATATAGAGGGTTGGGGATACGGAGTGGCTCCTGGCCATGACTCAGCCCCTGCGTGATAGCTGGAGAGGTCATTCTGTCGATGGTGCCCAGATCTTCTTACTTAATTATACCACCTTGTCTCAGAAGGCCTCGGGGAGGAAAAGCTCATAAAATGGGTTGCTAAGTATTTATGCAACAGCAACATCATGGTTGAAAACAGCAACAGGAAGTTTAGTCCTGAGTAAGCACAGCAGATGACCTATATAGGCACCTAGCCTCTGAGCTTCATTGTACAAATGCACTACATCGAGGTCCTGAGTGCTGGAGTCTCAGATCCCTGCACAACCACCAGGCCTGGGCGTGGACTCACACCTCAGCCAAAGAATGGAGGGGCACCTGGAGAAACCCAGCCCACCAGGAGCTCTCAGCTCGGGTAACCTGGCTGCCTCTTTGTAGAAGGGAGTGGGGAGGAACTTTACACTCGGGCTCCAGCCACCTGGGGATTGACCTCTCCCCTCCTTGCACTTGATCCCCAGAATAACTTGCACCCATTGCTTCTAGAACCTGATGGACTTGGCCCCTGAAGTCTCAGCCAGGTGTCATTCATAACGGATGGGGAAGGGCTTACTGAACTGTGCTTATTGATAAGTTGTCTGGTGCCTTGGAAAATTCATAAACTGCCTGGAGAAGCCAAAGGACCATCCCCAGAGGCTTGCAGATGTACACATGGTCCTTCCTGCAGGTTCTCGGGCATTTGGCCAAGCGCCTCCTTTGTCACACAGCTCTGTCTTCAGGTCAAGGCCAGGAGCCTCATGTGAGCTGTGTAGTCAGCTGCAGCAGAGACTTGCTGTCAGTTGCTCAGCAGTCTGTGCCACGCAGGCCTTTTCAGAACCGCCACCGGGATTCTTTGTTAGCTCCACATCTCACCTTTGCACAATCTGCAACCTGAGTCTGAAAACCCACACTTTCATTCAGTGCTCACTGAATCTCTCGACAGTTCAAACCTGTCACAACTTGAAGCCAACTCAGCCGGGAGAGGCTTGGTCCCTGGCTAAGCCTCACAATGCCTCTAGACAAAGGCAGGGAAGTGTTTTGAAATTTTTTAACAAAGTCAGCTTTAAACCAAACCTTGTCTTTGTTTATGAATCCATCCTAAAATTTTGCCAGCTCAGTTTCTGTCATTTGTTTTTAAATGATCTTTTTGTTTCTTCTGTCTCACAAAAGACCTGTCATCAAAAATTAAAAATAAAAAAAACAGTGAATCAGTCACTTTCCTGGAGTAGTCTTAGTGACCGTAAGGCTACTGTTAGTCCCAGGTCACCTTTCCTGGCAGGGCCCTGTCCTTTGCCCAAACTGCTGCCTCATTCCTGAGATGCTTCTTTCTTCCCCAACATACAGGTTCCAATGAGGAACGGCGAGTGCAACAAAAGGCCTTAAGCAAACTTAAACCAGACGCGTCGTTTGGCCCAACATCAGCACAGCGTTCCCCAGGAAGGGAACAGGCACCTAGCATCTCTGGGAGGTTCAAGGTGAATGGTGTGCTGGCAGTGGGCCAAGAGGTCAACCTAGCCCTGCTGCTCAAAAATCTGACCCGCGATAGGAAGACAGTGGCAGTGAACATGACAGCCTGGACCATTGTCTACAATGGCACACTTGTACACGAGGTGTGGAAGGACTCTGTCACCATATCTCTGGACCCTGAAGAAGGTAACTTGTGCTATAGTTGGTGGGTCCATGTGTGCGAGGTAGTTCATAGCCTGTTGGTGCTCCAGGCAGATTGCAGGCCACCCACTGACCAGGCAGGGTCAGAGCAGTGGCAGCCTCAATGGTTAAGCCTTGGGTTTTATACTCTAGAAGTTGCTATATCTGTGAATAGCACAAGTCATGGTAGCTCTGACCAAAATCCCTTTAAATCCTAGAAATGAAGGAGGGAGGCTTTGCCATGGCAGCCCAAACCATCTCACTTGGCCTTCTCAAGGAGGGTGGATTTCAGGATCCATGCTATGGAGGCAGAAATGAGAGAGATTTGCAAATTGCCTCAGAGATTAGGTGTCACAGCTATTCGGGAATGCCCAGGTCTTGTTTCCTGATGCTGAATCCAGTGCCACCCCATGTCTGCTGTTTGTATTGCCACCTCCTTCACTCTTTCACAGACCTCTTCTTCGGATTTGGCCCTGGATAGGCCATGACGCCCGGCCCAGGGTCTCCCCACAGCTTCCAGGATGTGAGTGGAATTTCTTAACCCTTGACAACAGAGATGGATTTTCTTGAAGGCCTGAGAGCTTGGGAGGAGCAGCAGCTCCTTGCCCCTGGGTAGCAAAGAAGGGAAGAGAAGGGGACAGAATTAGAGGTGTGCCCACCTTGGCAAAATCCTTCAAGCTGTTTTGAAAAGTTTGGATTTAAAAGCAGATTATCAAGGTTGGGGTAACTACTTACTTTACATAAAGGAACAAATAGAAACTGTTTAATTATACAACCCATTTTGAAAGAAGTCTGTCTGCCAGAGAAATTGAGATGTGTTGTACCTGTCAGAAGGCAATATCCCCTAGCAGTCTGCCCTCCGGCAGAATTTTGGCAGATATCTCAATTTGAGAAGCAACTGCCTGGCTACTATTTACTTTTAAAGCTGAAAGGAAGAGCTTTCTTCCCCCTGGTGATCAAGCCCAGGCACGTGCAAGGTGAATATCCTACCACTGAATATGGCCGGGTTCCTCCCCCACCCAAGCAAGAATCTATTTCTGCAGGCCAAAAATAATCCATGTGAAGGAAATAGCTTTGTTCGTTTGTTCATTTGTTTGTTTGTAAAAAACCCTTTGCAAGAAACAGCAGAGTGAAATGGAAAGCAGGGAGGAGGCCGGGGAAGTGGTGCTGGGTCCTGATGCTGCCTTATACTTTGCGGAGGGACCCAGATGTTTCTCCCTTCCTCTCTGAACTTCAGGGCTGAGCCAAGAGAGTCTAACCACTGGGAAAGCTGGACCAGCTGGGGCAAGGATCCATCCTTTCCATAGCAAGTCCCTCCAGTAGTGTAGGTAGAGGCAGCTTCCTCCTCCCAGTCTCACCCCCAGGCCACCCAACACAACCCCCTGAGGAAGCCCAGGACCAGCAGAGGAAGGAGCAGGCCCTGTGGCCTGCATTGTCAGAAGATGAGAGGCCTCGAAGCCCGGAGAGGAGCCAGGCACGAGGAGAGAAGCTGAGGAAGGCAGTGCCATGATGGGGAACCCGCCAGACACACGCCCAAGTGGGCAGTGCAGCGGGTTCTTTAAGGGATAAGCGAGTAGGGCACACTTTATTGCTAAGGGAGTGAGCAGCCATGGAAAGTTTTGGTCATGACTTGGAATAATGGAGACAAAATTTACAAAATGCTTTGCCTTTCAGAGCTTTGTCTACTGGAGTGAGGGTGATTTGGAGGCAGCAGAGCCCTGAGGGGGAGGTACTTGGAGCTGCTGTTGCAATAGGACCCCAGGGTGTTCAGTGACTGGGAAGATTCTAAACATTTATTTAGCCAATACCCTGCTTCCCTTCCTAGTTATTACTGTGTGGACATCATGATAGTTAGCGGCATTAGGCAATTTTTCCCGTACTGGGAGTTGCTACTTACCACAGGCTCTGGAAGCCTATACTTTGAGGAGTCTCTCCAGTCAGCTTGAGTCAGAGCCTCCCTCAGTCCCTGCTCTGAAGCCCACAGCAGGATCTGGTTCGAAAAGTACTCAGTCAAGCCCCCAGCGTACAGGTGCTCCAGCTGGGTCACCCTGGCTGGACATCAGCTCTGAGGGAAGAATGAGCACTTCCTCACTCTCTGTGCATCCCCTGGCTTCTCCTTACAGAAGTGCAACACCCCGTAAAGATCACCTATGCCCAGTATGAAAAGTATCTGAAGGCAGACAACATGATCCGGACCACAGCCATATGCAAGGTGTCTGATGAGGTCGAGGTGGTGGTGGAACGGGACGTCATCCTGGACAACCCCACCTTGACCCTTGAGGTAAGTGTGCCAAGGATATCGCCCCCAGCCAGCCCAGTTCCCAGGAACTCACTGGCCCCTGTGACCCGGCAGCTCTATGTGGACCACAAAGGAAGTCTTTTCCTGCTGGGAGAGGAGAGGACTGAGCTCAGTTCGGACCCAGCTTCAACCAAATGGATCTGCTCAGGCCAGAGCTCTTGCTCCCTGTCTGGCACATACATAGCCTCATTTGGCTGTCATTCTAGACTCCCTGGGGATATCACTGGGGCCAGGCTGGACGGAAAGACCTTGTGGCCCGTTCACCACTTGCTTAGCTGCTGAGCATGAGCTGCACTCTATGCCAGCACAGGTTGGGTTCCATGGAGAGTTCATGTGGTCTCAGCCACTGTTCATGGAATTGGTCAGAAGTGGGTATCATTCACTTGCACCTCCCCACTCTCTGGAACCCAGGGACGCAGAATTGGGAGCTTAGTCCCAAGGCTTTCAAACCTGAGTAAAACAAACCCACAGAGCTGGGAACAGCCTGATACTGCCAGAGCCAGGGCTGGGCCTTGGCTATAGAATCCCAGCTGTACGCTTTCTAAATCACCTGCAACCTCACAAAGTGTCAGGTCTAAGGATTTCTCTCCCAGACTCCCACCCAGGTAGGGAGGGGCTTATAGGCCTGCAGGAAGCCCCAAGTGCCACTCTGACTCTTCCTCAGCACCAAGCAGGAGCACCCATGTGACCTCAAGCGCATCCTTCACCCTCCAGCCTCTGGGCCCTATCCACCAGCCCAAGGCCACGCAGTGCAATCCTGAGGGGAGAAGGGCTGGACAAGAGCAGGCAGGGGGTGGGCAGAAAAGATGGTCTCCCCTTCCCAAAAGGCCCATGGGCCAGGCCTTCCCTATCTGCCATGTCTACCACCTGGCCCTACTGGCCGTTCCTGTCCAGTCACACTGCTGGCTTTCTATGTGCACCCCTGCTAGAGGATCAGAGTGAGTGCTACACTGTAGCTGCCAGGGTTCTGATTCAGTGGCCAAGGGGACCCAGGGTGCCCATTCTGGCATGGTGTCCTGTTCTCCCCTATAGTTGGCTTGTACTGATTGGTCTGGACTATGCTTCGGGATGGGATGGACCTACCCAGGGCCTGGAGAGCCAGTGTGGGGACGGCAGAGAGGGACAGTCACTCTGATCCTGGGCAGTACAGCCAAATGGACCTAAGCTGGATCTGCACCCCAGTATTTATCAGCGCTGTAACTGAGCAAGCTTTTCAACTGTCAGCTGCTCCAACTGCCATGGAATAATAAGGCGCTTCCCTTGCAGGGTGTTGCGTTTCCTGACACCCCAGGCAGGCCTGGCCCAATTAAACATCCTGAAAACTTTCTGTCCTCTTCCTTCATGGCATTTTCCCAGCCGAAAAATGATTTGAATATGTGCAAGGCTTTGGTCCCTACCTGGCTGCACACATCAGGAGGGCAGCTGCTGCCCGTGTTATGGGCTCATCACTGTCTCCCCTGCACTGTACCTTAGCAGGCAGCCACGGTGCACCACGGGTCATGACTGCCCCAGAGCCATTGGCTCTCTCAGAGGAGATTTATCATTGTCATGCCTCCGTGTCCCTTCATGGTCCACCATCTTCCACTTCACATGGCCTTGCCAGGGGCAGTCCCCATTCCTGAGGATGCAATGGGCAGCTGAGTGTCCATTCCAACACCTGAATCTAGAAAATGACGCTGGGGAGTGACCAGTTCAGCTATGAAAATATTTGCTTTACGCATGACCAGCATTTAAATGTAGTTAATTTTTCCCCTGTTGTATTTCCTTATCTAATAATCTCAAACTTTTGTATCCTATTATCTTTTATTCAACACTTTTCCCACATCTCTTGGATTTCCCTACCAAGCCTACTTAATCCCTAAATATATCATAATACTTTTAGAAAGGAAATTAGAACACACACAGAGGAGAAAGGAGCTATTTGGAAATTTCTTGTTTAACCTTTATTCAATGCATCTGGTCTCCCATCTTTTGGGCACATTCTACATTTCTACTTAAACCTCTGAAGAACTGAGACATTCTTGTCTTGATTGAATGAATAAAGCTCGCTCAAAGCAGAGCACAGATTTTTAAACTCATGAAGGGGATCCAGATGAGTAGAAAACAAAAATTTTGTAAAATCCTGTCATGTCATCTGGCACTCACCAACTGACAGATAGCATTAAGAATCTTAGACCATGGAACCAGAAGTAAAACCTGAACAGTGTTTTGAAGGGTGATGTCCTTCAAATCCATGACCTGTGATTCTCATCCTCCCTTTTGGGTACATTTATGGATTCAGGTCAATAAAAGAGGGCAGTAAGCAGCAATAAAGAAGAGAAACACATGCGTGGAACCAAATACCAACACAAAAAACATAGCACTGTTTACATAGCTTTATTATATCCCAATGGCATAACATTGTTGTTTGCTGTACAAATTACATTATGCACTTAAGTGAGTTCCATGGGAGAGATTATAGTACATATCATGGTCTCTAAAATGCTTCAGTAATTCACAAATTATTGGTGGGTACTGCAGGGCCTTTTAAAAACAGTAAAGATTTTGAAACCTGCTGGGTCCTGCTGTTTCCCGGTGTGTGAATTTCCCAAGTTACTAAATCAGTCTGAACTTTAGCCTTGTCACTGTAAAGCAATTCTTGTGGGGACCAATGACAAGAAAAACAAAAACCAAACTAACAAAAATCAGCACTGCCTCCCCACCCTATGATCTTCAAAAGTAGAAAAGAAATCCACCAGCCACACAATTTCTATTTCTGCTTCCTCAAAACTCTTTTCTTCCCTATCCATGACCTCATTTGGTCCCTTGGAGGAGAAGGGGGATAATTATCAGTTTTCATGACTTGTGTCATCTCAGAGTCATGAATGGTTTTTCCAGAAACACAACAGCTCTAGTCTTTTGTGGTGAATAAATCATTTTGCTTCCTTCTCTGACCACAAGCCCTGGCTTCACCTTCTCTGACCCCTGCATAGTCTGTCTCAGAGGCCCACAGACCAGAACACGACACACAAGGAGACTGCTGTGGTTTAGAAGCTTAGCAGGAAATCAATAGACTGGGGTGTTATCAAAAAAGTAGTCTGCATGGGAGTGGGAGGACCCAACACCTGGGACCAAAAATAGAAGGGGCTGTGAGCCAGCTCAGTGGTCACCATCTTCAGTGCCTATGGGGCCTCTCAGCAAGGGAGGCTCAGGAGTTAAAGGAAAAAACAGGAAGAATGAGCAAGGGATTCAAGCAAATTAATGTTGTTTAAGTTGGCATGAAAAACCCTCTTACCCACTGAGGACCAGTAGTAGGACTGGGATGTCCTAGAAAACAGGGCTTGCTCTTCCTGGATGAACTTCACCAGGGGCTCGTGACCTTGGCAGGGACATCCCTGCTCTGCCAGCCTCTGTAAGGAGCCCTTTCACGCTCTTAGCCTAGGCTTCCTGTCCATAGCATGGGAACAATGGTTATGTCTTAGAACCCCCTTACGGATGGTGGGAGGCCACCTGACACTTAGGAGAACTACATAGAGGACTCTCCCTTCTTGAGTCCTCAGTGACATCTTCCCTATCACCATGCCATGGGCCTGGCCATGGTCCACGGCCAGAGTCATGGATGGTTTTTCCAGAAACCAGTGGCAACAGGTCCAAGCAACCAGTACCCTGACTTTGCAATCTCTTGCTCTCTGCTCTGCAGGTGCTGGACCGTGCCCAAGTGCGGAAGCCCGTGAATGTGCAGATGCTCTTTTCCAACCCCCTGGATGAGCCTGTGAAGGACTGCGTGCTGATGGTGGAGGGCAGCGGCCTGCTTCGGGGCAACCTCAAGATTGAGTGAGTCCCCAACCTGGGTATCCGATAAGAAATGGCAGGAGGGGGACACAAGGGCCTGTCTGGGGGTCCTCAGCAGGACAGAGTTTCCACTGGTCTTGGGGTCTTCACTCTTTTGGGGATCTTGGAACTCAAGAATATGCATTACATTTGGTTTGGGAGTTCACTAAACTTGAACTCCTGGACAGCCCTGGTCTCTAGAACTAAGAGCTGACCCCTCAGGGCTTAGCATGTATGGGAGACCATAATACAGCCTCCTTGCTGAAGGGTCATGGGCCCGGAGGGACCAGGTGACACAGGGAGTTGAAGAAGTGGTCATTATGCTAACTGCCCACCAGAGCAGGAGTAGGGCTACAGAGGGCAGTGCAGCTGAGGCTCCATGTATCTCACCAACCTGACCAGTGCTCTTCTTCCTCAGGGTACCAGCCCTGCGCCCCAAGGAGCGGTCCCGGATCCGTTTTGAAATCCTGCCCACCCGGAGTGGCACTAAGCAGCTGGTTGCTGACTTTTCCTGCAACAAGTTCCCAGCAATCAAGGCCATGCTGTCCATCGATGTGAACGAGTGAAGGGCCCCAATGGCCCCCCCATACAAACTTGGGTACCACAGAGCAGGAAGGGTGTACCAGTGGAGTAAAACCTCTGCCCAAGCTGCCCAACCTGGGAAGCTCAAGGCTGTCAGACATGGACCTCCAGCACACACCCCCACCTCCTCCCATCCCTGCCCACCCCCAGTCTGGGGCCTGCAACTTGATCATTTTTGCATGTTCCCTGGCCACCTGCTCTGTGAGCCCCACTGCCCCACTCATCCCTTGAACCCATCAAAGCTTCAGGATGGAGCGTCACCTGACCCAAGGACTCTCCAGATGGATGTGGAGGAGAAACTGGTTTAGATTGTTTGCTGGTTCCCAGCCTACAGCTGGAACATTCCTGCTCCTCCCTCAGATCATGTGAAGGGCAGAGAATGGTTAACCATTATACTCAAATAAATGTTAAATAAGTGTGATCACACAGTGCTACTCTTCCAGACTAATGTCTTACTTATGATGGTGGAGAAGAGGGGCCGAGGTTGTACTCCTGGAGAAGGGATGACCTTGGGAAGGCTTTGTCACCTGTGTTCCAGTGTCCGTAGAGAGTAGACATTGTTCTGCATGCCATCAAATGCAAAAAATAAGGACACCTTACAAGTCAATTTATGGAAAATTTGCTAATACAATGTCCAAAAGTAAACAAGGTTGCATGGGGGAAGTGCACCATGATAGGATCCAAGTACACTCAGCTGGTTGGACTGCTGGTTTCAAGGACTTTCAAAAGAGTGAAAGTGTGTGTTGGAGTGAGACTTCTAAGTGTTTACCTGAACTCTTTGACAGAGCAGATAGTTGGTGGTGCCCCAAACCTCAGCCAACACTGGGCTTTCTCCAGCTCGATTAGTCCAATTTCCATTGCCCATAGAGCTGGCTGCATCCTTTTCTATCAAGGAAGAGAATAATTGATCAAGAGACCTGTGGCTTCAGCCATAAGTAGCCTTCCTTGACTAGACTGCTCTTTTTGTGATACAGGATTTAACACTCTGGTAAAGACACTACAACTGGTGCAAACTTGCACTTAGATGGCTCCAAACATCCAGGGAACACAGTATCTCATGCTAAATAAAGCTGAAATGGCTGAATTATTGTTGGTGATGGTAGAAGAAGGAACTGAAAGGTTTAAGGAAGGGAACATCCAAGACTATAAATCTTACACACTCACACCATGCCCACCAAGAGGATTATTTCCCATTGGAGGCTCCAGAAGCCACATCACGACTCATCAAGGTCAAGAATAAGCCCAAAACAGAGGCATCAATATCCCTAAAAAAGTGGCTTCCTCTACATTTGAAACAAAGTAATAACAACATTGTAGAAATAATGAATATGAAAATCTAGTGCAGCAACCAGGAAGGAAAAAATTGAAATATACTGGCATAAATTTCTTATATAACACATGAAGTGACAAAATACTATCTGAAAATACTATGAGAAGTTAGAGGTAAAACTATGAAGCTAAAGCAATCACACAGGCATACACATACCCTGTCCTGTCTCCTGCAGATATACCCATCCCTCGTCCTCGTTACTGAAAGCCTATGCATCCCATCCTCTCTTCTAAAATCTAGTTATAATTAACAAATCAAGATAAGAGATAATATGTAATAATAAAGATACTCATTAGAAGAAAATGAGGCAGAAAAAGAGAAAAGGCAAAGAATGGATAAAAGGTAAAAAGTAAGTATAACGTGGCAGATTTAATCCCACAGATTAGCCAGGCATAACAACACATGCCTATGATTCTAGCACTTGGGATGTTGAAACAAGTTTGAGGCCAGCCTGAGCTATGTAGCAAGTTTGAGGCAACTATGGTGCTATGGCTTGTGTCTAGATGTCCCCTTCAAAGCCCCATAGGTGAGGCTTTTCAGAGGTGGCTAGATCTAGAGTATGTGATGCCAGGATTAAGGGTATGTGATTTCTTAAATTAGTTCACTCATTGATTGGGGATCGTCCTGGGCACAATAGCCTAGATAGAATGTAAAAGGGACCAGAAGAAGCTGTCACTACCCCTTGTCACTTTTGCCTTTGGCTTGCAATGAACTGTTTCTCCTCTGGGATGCCCCCCTGCCATGCCACCCTGCTTTGGCATCAGGCAACTATGAACTGAAACCTCTACAATGAATCAAAATGAACCTTTATTCCTTTAACTTCAGGTGCAGGAATTTTGTCTCAGCAACAAGTAACTAAGATATCTGGGCCACATAAGAAAATGCTGCCTCTAAGTTAATAAATTAGTAATAAACTCAGCATATCAATAGTCACACATTATATGTAAATGACTTAAACACTACAGTTAAAAGGCTACTATTTTTACATTGAAATTTAAAAGCAAGATCTAATAATATTCTGCCACAAAAAATGCACTTCAAATATGAAGTTAAATGGGTTAAATGTAAAAGGATGGAAATTTATATAAAGCATTCAAATAGTAGGCAAAGGTTCAGTGAATATAAAAAGTCAAACAAAATAGATAAAAATGATTACCAGAGAAAAAGAATAATATTTTCTAAGGACAAAGGTCTAATCCATCGAGAAGTATAAAAATTACAATTTCAGTATTCTTTGATCACAATGAAATTAAATTAGAAGACAATAACATCAGTGTATCTGGAAAGTGCCCAAATATTTGGAAACCAGAAAAAAAGCCTTCTGAATGACGCATGGACCAAAAACAAAATTGAAATTTAAATGCTGTATCAGTCAGAGTTTACTAGAGAAACAGATGTAACACAAGATATACAAATACGTAAGAAATAACAAGATTGGCTTACAATGGGTGTCTGCACACTGGAGGCTGAAGGGTCCAGCCCAAAGGCTGGAGCTTACTGCAGTGTCCACTGCAAATCCTTATTAGGAGGCTGAAGAGTCTACGACAAAGGCTAAGGAGTCCCAGGCAGAAGCCGAATGGTCTGGGCCAGAAGCCGGGAGAGGACTCTAAGGTGAAGGTGAAGACCGGAGCTCCTCTGAAGAAGCAGCAGTCTTCCCTCCTCATTTGCCTCGGTTGTGTGCAGGCTGCTCCCCTGGGGTGCGTGCAGCACTCACGCCATCTGCCTGCCCTCCTCTTGCACAGGGGAGGATGTTACAACTAAGGCCCCTGGGCCCCTGCTGAGTCACTTCAACTCCTGACCTTCCCGCATTGACACAGTGAACAGTATCCTAGAATGGTATCACCTGGTCCTCTATACCACAGGTCAGACCTACTGAATCCCTTAGTTAAGCTTCTAGACTTCTCAAGTTGAGGCAATGTAAAAACCAGAACAAATGCTTTGGAAGGTATTTTAACCTAAAACACAAAACATCAAAATGGGAAGGTTGTAGCTACTACTGCTTTAGTAACTCAAAGGGAATTCATAGCACTAAATCCCATAGCACTAGATGGCCCTCAGTTCACAATGGTTCAACTTTTGATTTTCATGGTTTATCATGGTATGAAAACTAAAGATACTCAGTAGAAGCCATACTTCTTGTGTGGACTTTCAATCTTTGCCTGGGAGTGTGATATGCTGTACAATACTTTTTCAGAGCCCTGAGCTACAATAAACTCAGCTATGTCATTCACATGAGCACTGTGGTCAACAAAAACTGCTCTATTATTGCTGGGCAACAATAGTATACTAACAGCATTAAATATTCAGTACATGAACTATATTAAATGCATTTTTAATTTACATTTTTTCAACCTGGGATAGGTTTATCAAGGACACAACCACATCCTGAGTTAGGAGAATGTGTATTAGAAACATTAGAAACAAGAAGTAAGTGAACTCAGCTTCCTCCTTAGGGAGTCAGAGAAGAGGAGGGTAGAATTGAACCCAAAATAGGCAGAGGGAAATAAACAACAGAGAGCACAAATCAATAAAATGGAAAATAGAATATAAAATAGTAAATTGGTGAAACTAAACATGTTCCAATGCAATAGCATTGATAAATCTTTAACCAGACCGATCAGAGAAAAAAGATATAAATTACTAACATCTCAGGAATAAGAACCCCCTAAAGTTATTTGAAGGATAATAAAGTAATACTGTGAACAATATTATGCAAATGAAGTTGCATAAAGCAGAGGAAGTAGGCAAATTCCTTAGAAGACACAAATATCAAAATTCACTCAAGAAGAAATTTATATGCAGGCTACCCCTACAGCTACTAATAAAATTGAATTTGGAATAAAGACAAGCTGGACCTAACCCAGACGGCCAGCCACAGAAATGGTTGTTTTATCACTACATTTTCATGTGGCTTGTTATGCTACAAAGAATATTATAAACTACTATTATTTGCCACCTCCATGAAAACAGCTCAAATATCCCTTCTGTGGGAAACTTTTCCAACAGCCCTCTGCCTGGCTGCATCCCAAACACACGTGATCCCTCCTCTCTACACTTCCCCTCACTGTACACTGCCTTTTTAGACCATTTCACCTTTCATCAGGCCTCCATCTATTCTCTCCTCTCCTAGACTATGTGCATGTCCTGAGCAAGACTCCTTTCCTTCTGTACCTATGTTCCCTCCACATTTGCATAGTGTCTGGTGTAGATTAAGCACCCACATTCATGTGAGAGTCAAAGATGTAAATGAGACTGTAGATGAATGAACAAATGACGGAAGTGGAAGACTGGAGTGACTAAAAATTGTCATATTTAACATTCACCAAAAGTGTACACTCTGCTAGTCATGTTCTAAATATTTTATAGTATTTGTTTAATCCAATGATCTTTTCAGGAAAGCACTAACACTTTTCCCATTTTACAAAAGAAGGAGCTGAAACTTAGTTACTGAGGTCACAGGTTACTGGGGTTAACATAAGTCAGAGCTGGGATTCATATTCAGATGGATTGGCGCTAGTGCATAATCTATATGTCGTGTAGTACTACCCACGCAAATGTGAAAAAGGTCCCCAGTGATAAATGCCATCAAAAGTTTCCAAAAAGATAGAGAAGTAAAAGATGCAAACACTCAAGTAACTGTGTCTCTGCTGTGGCACCTAGCTCTGTGGAGGTATTCCTGGATCCCTCCTGCCAGCTTCCTTTCCTGCAACTGCTTGGACATTGGCTCTCTCATTCCTCTCTGAGGAAGCATCACTGGCAGTGGCCCCAGAAGGCCCTCTTCCCAGGGTCAGTTTTTTTGCTCTTCCACTTCTAGCTCTAGATCAGTCACCCTCCCAACCTTGATCACAGTTGCTTTGGGATAAGAGTCTCAGGCAACTGAATCGAACCTGGATCCTGCCCAGTGTCAGAATCTCCTCTGCTGTTATGTCATTTTTCCTCATAGATCCTTTAACAGATGAACATTGCTATATCTGGTACTAAGGGAAACAGGATTAGAGTAAATTCTCTGTATGTCCTACTCCATACTAGCCATCCTTTGCCTCTATTAGCACTCCCAGTACTTTTATTGCAATCATTTGTCTGTCGATGGTTGCCA